AATGTAATGTATAGTAATCGAAAAAATAATCAGTAAAACAACCCTTTTCACATTCGAAAATGTATTTTTTTTTCCAGGGCGATATCCTAAGAAAAGCGGGGCATTCAATTTGGCATTTTTGGAACTTTTTGAATACATCAGAATGCTGATTACATAGTTAGGAGTAATATTATCGAGAACTCATAAGAAATACATTATATTATTTACCACACATGTAATGCATTACCACTTTTCCGACTGGGATTTTATTGTCGCATATGAAAAATATGAATTTGAAAGCAACAAGTAATTTTAAGCAAAAAACAAAACCGACTTCAATTCCCACATAAAAATTTCAGTTTATCGTTTTTCGATCGATTTCTTCAAGATCCAATGATCGGATCTAAATCAAATTAGTATGGGACTACCTTTTCTTTAAAAAAAAGCATTATAGGAATCGGTTAACTTGGTTCAAAGTTATGAGGTAACATACATAAAAAAATATATATATATTCCGACGAATTGATAATCTTCTCCTTTTTTGAAGTTGGTTAAAAAAGTTGGGTTCAAGCCGTGGTCAGAGCATTATCGCGAAAAAAATATAGAAAAAAGGTTTTTTCTTAACAGCGGTCGTCCCTCGGCAGGCAATGGCAAACCTCCGAGTGCATTTCTGCCATGGAAAACAGCTTCTCATAAAAATACAATCGCCGTTCGGAGTCGGCGTAAAACTGTAGGTCCCTCCAACATCAAGGCGCACGCCACAAAATCGGAGGAGAAGCTCATATAAAATTTTAAGATTATCATTAATTTCTTCATAATCCGATGATCGGATTCAAACCAAATTAATATGGGACCACCTGTGAGGTAACACCTTTCCTTATAGAAATCGGTTAACGTGGTCCAAAGTTATGCGGTAACAAATATATAAATAAAAAAATATTCCGACGAATTGATAACCTTTCTCCTCTTTGTGAAGTCGGTTAAAAAACAACATTTTTTTAAGGCAAGCATTTAGTAATAAAAACCGGCCCCGCACCACCTAACGGCTAAGTTTTCTGTAGTGTTTTTTCTTTCCATTCAAGTTATATATGTATGTACTTTCTAAATGTGAACCACATTGGACCATTAATACGGGTTTTCGAAATATCTCGGGCATTTTTTCTTCCGTTTCGTGTAAGTAATATACATACCAAATATGAGCCATGTCTGCCGATAAATACGCCTTTTTAAAATATCTCTGCACCTGCACCACCTACACTGAGCCAAACGCACAATGGTTTTTTCAACCAAGTTATGGTTTGGTTTTTTTATGGTTAATAAGACGATTGTAAGAAATGTGATTCAAGTTGAACATTAGAGAACCAATTCGTATGTATGACAGTGGCTGAATGTGCAGAGGTGCTTGCTGTTATTTGTTGGCTTCCAGCAGTACGAATGCCGTCAGCGCGATACATAATTTTTATTTTTGAAGTGAAACTTCTTACACGAGTTCGGAGATGGTTGCGTTATATGTATGTATATTTAACACCAAGTCATAAAATCTGCATCGTTCGTTCGATTTTCGAAAATGAGGTGCCACATGAAAGGGCTCGTCCTTCGGGTGTGCAACGCAACTTTAGTTTCATGAAAGCAGTTGCCACATTTTAGAAAATCGGATTCAAAATTTCTCTGCCGCAGATGTTTGCGTTAAATATTTAACATCGAGTCATAAAATCTGTATGGTTCGTTCGATTTTAAAAGATGAGGTGCCCTTTCATTGGCACTGTAGATGTGTAATATGATTTTAGTTTTTTAAAGGGTTGCCATATATACGAAAATCAATTTCAAATTATTTATTAAAATAAATATATTTATTAAAATAAATAAAACATCCCAATATGGGTTAAAAAAAATGGTTTTGAATAAAGATGAAGATGAAGATAATGATAAAGATGATCTGATGAACTGCAAAATTTTTTAAAGAAAAATTTTCACTGGAAATGATAAATGGTGGAAATGATCCAACAACCAAAGGAGCGGCTACCAATGATGCGGGTTTTTCCAGAAATACTAATAGTCTTGAAATAAAACATTTCACATCTTACTTTAGTTACCACAATCTATTAGTTAATATTTTAGATATGGATGGTTTCTCAGGCACAAATAATAATCACACTGCAGTAAAAAATAAAAAATTAAAGGTCGTTAAAAAATTAAATAAGTATGTTTTTTGTATACTAGAAAATATGCACATGTGTATGTATGTATATCGCACTTTTCTTTCTTTCTGGCATTTTCTCTATTAAGTTTAACTTCTTCCGCGCGTAGGGACTACACGCACTGAGTTTTTTTTTCTGTTTTCTTGGCTTTTCTTAACTACGAAAAAGCCTCTGCGAAGTGCAGAACCAAATCAAACGACGAGGAAAATTGATTCAACTTGAACATTTGAAGATACATTTATAAAGCGGCTGTAGCTGAGAGTGTAGATATGCTTGTTGTTATTTGCTAATACCGTCCGAGGCAACATGTTAAAATGACAATACAAAATTTTGTTTTGTATATTTGAATTATGAAAAAGCATCTGTGAAGCGCAGAACATAAACTTATTCAACGAAAAATCGCCAATCAATAGTTTGGTTAAAGTAAACAAAATTGTGGTTAATATTACCAAATCCTTGTTGAAAATATCAACCAAGGCCTTGTTAATATTAACCAAAACTCAATTTGATTCCTTTTCAAGTTTGAATTTGGTAATATTAACTAATTTTTGGTTGATTTTTCTCTCAGTATAGATGACCAATTCTTTTATATTGCATTGTCATCGGGTTCTGCGCTGAGTTTTAACTTTCAAGTGTCTAGTTCGTCGGGAAATTGGTTAAATATTGATTGCAAGATTTGATTACACAGAGGGGAAACTTAACATAAGCGTGTAAAATACAAGGAGAACCAAACGAAACTCGTTCACTGGTTTTTTTGTTGTGACAGGTTACTAAACTCAACAACTCAACTCAAGAAGTCAGGACAGGAAGTCTGGACAAATGGGATCCCAGATTTTGATCCGGAATATCTATACTGGGATGAGTATTTATTAACCTGGCATTACATTTTCTACTGCAAAGGGCAGATGACCAACAGTTTTAAAGGCAAAGATGCTAGCAAACCTAAACTGTGACAAAATACAACTTAGAAAGGGCTGGAAAAGCGCTTTTCCAATTATATTTTCAGACAACGGAAGTGACCATCAGGGCACTCTCTTATAGGATGATCCCCTCCGCTCTAGTAAAGGGAAGTTTTAATACCCTTAATCTTTTGGCCGAGAGGCACCCAGCACAATCAAGATTAACGCTAATTCAGTGCATGGATTTTACCACTTTATTAGTAGATCTACCAAATTTTTAGCTATATTATATTTTCTACCATTTTTACCAACAAAGGCTAAAACTCTACGAATATTTTCCGGAAAGAGAGCTAAGAGATTTTAGTGAACATACGGGTACATACAGTATCGGTCATATCTATAGCACGCCATTTCAAAGTGATATTGTGTGCCACTTATGTTTATTTATTTATTTTTAAGAATTTTCAATTAAAATACAGTTCTTTCTCTAACAAACCCCATATAAACCCAAGTATAACAATTTGTAGAAAACTTCAAAAAAGTGCAACGAATTTTCACCTAAGTTTCAAACTGTTTTCTCGGAAGTGTTAGAATTTTTTTGAGTACACAGTTTTTTAGCCACTGCAATTTTAGTCTGATAATCTGCAAGTTTCAAGTGACTGAAAGCTACCGTTGATTTTTTAGAATTTTTTTCGCCAAAAGTGTTGCGGTTTTCATCCATCTATATTAATAAAAATGTTGTGTTCGTATTTCACGGTCGTCAAAACTCGAGAACGGCTGAACCGATTTGAATAATTTTTTTTTTTGTATTGTTCGGTGTAATACCAGAACCAATGATATCGCAAAAAAATTGAGGGTTGCCACATATTTGAAAATTTTTAAAACCAATTATATTGATAAAATAAATAAATCATTACAATATGGGTACCAAATTAAAGAGGTTTAAGAAAGATAACTGCTGGAAATATTGTTGATGAGGGTTTCCACCTATTTAAAAATTTTAACTCAGTCAAAATGATAAAATGAATTAAATATTGCCAAGTGGGTGTCAAACTAAAGAATTTTAAGAAGGCTTATAGCCGAAAGTATGTTTTTTGAGGGTTGCCACCTGTTTGAAAATTTAACTAAAGTACATCGACAAAATAAATTAAATATTACAATATGGGTTTAAGAAAGATAACTGTTGGAAATATTTTTGAGAAGGGTTGCCACCAATTTTAAAATTTTAACTCAGTTAACTTGATAAAGTAAATGAAATATTGCTATGTGGGTATCAAACTATAGACTTTTAAGAAGGCTTACAGTCGAAAATATTTTAAAGGAGTGTTGCCACCTGTTTAAAAATTTAGCGTAATTTA